CACATTCCACGAGGGGTGTTCATCAATCCCATACGTCAACCCCCAAGCGTCAGTTGTACATGCAGTGAAGTTTCCTGTGCTTCAGGGACTGACACCCAGCCTCCATGGGCAGGACAGGCGCAGGGGAGGTGGGGAGGCCTGGCTGTGTGGCTTGAAGGCCAAGATCTTCCTGCTTGGCCACGAAGTACATGTTTGACTGCCAGTGTTCAAAGCGTGTGAGGCCACTGGGCATCCAGCAAAGGACCGGGAAGGGATTCAGGGAAGTGTGTGGGTGGGACTGGGAGGAGGGAGTCACCTCCCGTCTGATCTGCCTTAACTCTTTCTCTCTGGCTTTTCGTCAGTTTGGTTCAGCTGCCAACAGAGAGAGCTTCTGGCCCCTTTGTTCCCCTCTGAGGACGACTCTCTGGCCTCCCACACCTCACTCTGTCTCTGACTCTGGCCTCCTCTGGTCACCTACTGTTTTTATTCAGCCTGAACTTCCCCTGGCATGCTGGAACGGAGCGGCCCATTATCACTCACTCACTCTCCACATCCTGCGATGGATCCAAATCAGCTGCTTGCTCCCAGATCCCTCCACCAGACACCACATCTTTCTCTCGGTTTTCTGCAGGGACCAGCATCCTTCTTTGCACACAGGATGCTTGTCCTGCCTCCTTGGTTGAAAACCAGTTATCAGAAAATAACCAATTAAAATATTACTGCTTTGTGGCCTCTTTGTTTATCTTCTCTCCACTGCTTCCAAATTGTTTTTCATTATATTTGGGCAGAGTACAGAAAAGTGCTTACTTGATGAAATGTGTTTACCATGTAAACCCACACAGAATTTTCTAGAAAGATGGTAGAATCAAGAAGGTGAGAGGAGGTGGCCTGCTCTGGTGAGAAGGAGAGTGTGGGGTGCTGAGAAGCAGCCAAGAATGTCTTGGGGAGTCACCGCCCCGTCAGGTCTATGCCAGGATACCAGGCGTTTGTTTGGTCCTTGGAAGGCAGCGGCGGGGCAGGGATCTTCTAGTGGAAGGTGGCTGTGTGGGTGGCGCCCTGTACATGTAAGAGGCCATTTGCCTGAACAAAAAGAGGGAATTAAGAAAAAGGCCTTTTATTTAAATTTGGGTGGAGTAAGTATGAAAGGAGCCAACAGGGGAGCCTGTAATTTAGAGAGGGCGTGTGGTGAGGAGGAACTGGTGACCTTGTGGTGCCATTTGGACCCGCACAACTCAGGCCTTGGTGGGGAGCCCTGGGACAGGGAGGTTCGCAAGGCCAGGATCCAGCAGCATCCCCAGGTTCTCAGATGCTGAGGCTGGTATCCCAGGCCAACGGACTTTCTCGGAATGTGGCATTGGAGGCACCATTTCTTTCTTTTGGGAATTACCTTTTGAGAATTACCTTTGTTGAGGAACTCAACGAAGTTGAATTAGAAAGGCAAACATGCAATTCTGGGTTATCCAAGCACCTAAGTCTTTGCTGGAAACAAAAAACACTCTACGTTCTCAATCTGCTTAATTTGATTTGATCAGAAATGTGTATGTACAAAAATTTCCTTCGTAAGCTGAGAATCCTGCTGAGAAATTTTAGCCCAGAGTGCACTTAGCCTGAGAGAATTATCAGCGCTGGGGGAAAAGAAAACTGTGTGTGATAAAATGTCCCAATTATGGAGACAGTGTCAGTTATTCCCTCGGAATGTATGTCTTTATCCCATCATCTTGTCTGGCTAATGAATATGACCAAGGCCATCCTCTCCCATTATTGCTCAATAATGGGCAATGGAGATGGCATATCTTCGCCTTTATTTTTGCTGGCACATCCAGGCACTGAAGCACATTAAAGTAATAAAATTAGGCAGCAAGGCATCCCAGTCACTCCCACCACGTTCCCGTAACCCCCTCATTTACAACAGACTGAGACAGAAAGGAATTTTTTAGAGCAATTTGCGATGAGGCAACACTGGATATGTAAATTCTGTTTCATTGGCAGTCACCGCTGCCGGCTAATTCTAAAATGCCTAACAGCCTTTGGTTCACTAGCCGTGTTGGGTCGGGAAAATTCAGTTTTAAGGCCCCAAAGGGGGAAATGTGTAATTGCAACTTTCTTCTATGTCTTAAGCTGTGGTCGAAGAGATATTGTCCCATCCTCTTTCTGGCCAGATGTTCCGTCCCAGTGGCAGATCCGAGAAGGGGCCTGTTAAGAAGTTCAACTTTTTACTGAGTTGGATGACGAAGGCGGTTTTTATTTTTTGAAAAATTTATTGCTCCTACCGGCTTTATTTCCCCTAAAGAAGTGGCTGCCAGGGTTCAGGAAATAGCAAGAATAACAATTTCAAGGGAAATCACTGACTTGAGTTTGAGACCAGAGACTGAGCAGGCGGAGAGCCCCGTGCGATATAATCATCCTGCAGATGCCACGGTGAAAAGAGGCCACTGCAAGACGGGCCCATTCCGAGGCAGAGCTTTGTCGAGGGGCGCTTGAACAAGATGCCCTTCACTGGAACGGGACACATGCCCTCAGGAGAGATTCGCCACATACACAGTGAGTTATAAGAGGATTCCAAAGGTTAGGGAGACGGGAGAAAAAACTCACACAGTTGCCCTACTTTGCAGAACTTATTTTAGACTTTGCTGTGCTTCGTGTAACTACTATAAAAATAAGAGGTTTACAAGCTACAGAGCAAGTCGGGACTGGCCAAAACATGTGTCCTTGGACTTTCATCTCCCTGCTCCGCCTTTGCTTGGCTTGACTGTGCTCAAACCTGCACTAGTTAAGAAAGTCCCACGATTTAAGAGGGTTCCCAGGTCATCAGCCACTGGGAGTTTTAGCTAATTCAGCTCTGCACTTCCCCTTGCTCCAGAACAGGGAGTGAGGAGGACATGGGGGTGGCCTTCAACATGGCCATAGGGTGGTGGGACTCCAAGGTGGGGAACAGCCTCAGGTGGACGAGCAGGTGCTTTTCAGGGCCCATCTGCAGGGAGTCGTTGTGACCACTTGGATGTATGTGTCATAACTGTCCACCTTCCACCCTTCAGGCTCCCAGCAACTTCAAGGCCCCTGGGGAGATTCTCAGACCCTCCCCTCTAATAGGCAGAGAGGAAATGAATGCTGGCTTGGGGAGGGGAGAGTTGGAGGGGATGTGACGCACAGGCCCAGAGCTTAGGGACTCTGAATTCAGTAATCTGGGTCTATTGGTGCCCCTTCATATGCAGTAAGGTCGTCTATTAACTCTGTGTTTATGGAGCTGTATTTATCACCTGGAAAGGCCTGCAAGTCTTCTTATCAATGGATCCTCTAATTGGAGGTTCACATCGTTTTGTCTTACACGTTGACAATACTGCTGGTGGCACCAGCCTTATCTCTTGCCCAAGATTGGACTAAGGTTGAACTCACAGCATGGTTTCTGACCACTGGCATTATGTCACTTTGGAGGAACGTGTTAAAATTTCACATTCCTGGGCCCCATGCAGCAGGACCCACTGAATCGAACTCTGTATATCTTTTAAATTAGCATGTTAACATTCTTTTCTTTTGTATTTAGGTACAACTTATTGCGTTAAGCTGTTTGCGCGTTGCTATAAAGATACGTGAGACTGGGTAATTTATGAAGAAAAGAGGTTCAACTGGCTCAAATTCTGCAGGCTTTATAGGAAGCCTGGTGCTGGCATCTGCTCAACTTCTGGGGGCAGCCTCACAAAGCTCACAGTCCTGGAGGAAGGCAAAGCGGGAGGAGACACATCACATGGCCAGAGCAGGAGCAAAAGGGAGGGGGAAGTGCCACATGCTTTTAAACAGCTCAGTCTTGCAAGAACTCACTCACTATCAAAACGGGAAGGGGATGGTTCTAAGCCGTTCATGAGAAATCCATGTCCCCGACTCAGTCACCTCCTGCCAGGCCCTACCTCCAATACTGGGGATTACAATTCAACATGAGATTGGGGCTGGCACAAATATACAAACCATATCACTTATATTCAGTAAAGCACCCAAATCTTAGGACTTTTATCAATCAAATACACCCACATAGCCACCATGCAGATCAAGACGTAGAACAACATTGCCACCACCCAGAAGGCTTTTTCCTTCTGTTTTTCCGAGACAATAGTATCTTCCAGGGACATCTGCTGTTCTGACTTCCACCATCGTAGACAAGTTTGACCTTTACCTAGCCTGAATCATGCAGGACGCTTTTGAGTCTGGTGTCTTTCTCTCAACATTATGTGTGTGAGATGCACTGTTGCTTGTATAATAGCTAATTCTTTTCCATTGTGCTGTAGTATCTCAAGGCATGGATATACTAAACTGATACACATATTCTACTCTTGATAGCATCCGGGTTGTTTCCAGGTTTTAGTATTATACCAAAGCTGCTGAGAATATTTGATCCTTGGAGAGGATGGAGAGATAGAGGGAGGGAAAGGGCGTGTCTTTCTTTTTCACCTTTGGTGATGAAGGGAGTTCCTACTGCTGCTCCTCAGCTCAGAGGCCCAGTGTGGCAGGAAGTGGTGAGGTGGTGGGGAAGAAGAAAGAAAATGCTCAGTGCAGTGCATACGTGTACATGTGCATATGTGTGTGTGTGCATGTGCACGCATTGTGTGTGTGCGTGTGCATGCATGTGTGTGTGTGCATGTGTGTGCATGTGTGCATGTGTGCGTGGGCATGTGCACATGTGTGTGCACGTGTGTGTGTGTGTGGTGTGTGTGCGTGCATGTGCATCCATGCGTGTGCATGTGTGTGTGTGCATGTGCATGTATGTACGTGTGTGTTCATCCTTGTGTGTGCACACGTGTGTGCGTGTGTGCATGCGTGTGTGCTTGCGTGTGTGTGGGTTGTGTGTGTGCATGTGTGTGTGTGGTGTCCTCTCTCCCATCCCCTACATCCACCGCCAACTCCACGTTGAGGCTGGTAAATGGCCTCAGGAGGATATTCACAGTGTCATGATCATTCACATCAACCTGCAATGATTTTGCATGTGCACGTTGTGGTGTCGGCATGTATAATTGTGAGACTGGCTCAGATGGAAATCTCCTTCTCCACTTGTAGGCTGGTTATGATGGTGAGAGTATCGGAAATTGCCCATTTTCTCAGCGTCTCTTCATGATTCTCTGGCTGAAAGGCGTTATATTTAACGTGACCACGGTGGACCTGAAAAGGTAAGACAAGGCGTCTGCCTTACTGAAATAACTGTACCTAGTTCCCTACACACACACACACACACACACACTTTCTCTCTCTCTCTCTCTCTCTCTCTGAGACCTAAGGCCCACGGTGCTGCATGGGCACATCCATCCTCAGTTGGAGTCTTAACTGAAGCCCACGTTTGGGCCAAGCAGAGTCATGACAGGGTCGGCTGGGCTGGAGTCAGGAAGGAGCAGGAGTTGGGGTTGCCGTGAAGAACTTATTCCCCTGGTTGCTGGTCAGCTGTGACTCTCCCAAGCCTGTCTGAGCTGGTGACAGTGGAGATAATTAACTTTTTCACCTCTGTTTGTTGATGTGCCCCTTTGTGCTCCGTATTCACAAAGGGGCACATCAACAAGCCCATCATTTGTTAATGAATGCCTTTACTTTCATCGCCAGCAAGAAATTTTTGTAAACCCACACTCTACTTTGCAGTTCTCAAGAGCTGCTTCTCTTAAACTGGGGAGGACACGGCTAAGCCCTGGAAATGAGTCCAGATTCTCCCGGCGGCCCATAAACACGGCTGTTTCCTCCCGCCTAGGAAACCCGCAGACCTGCAGAACCTGGCTCCCGGAACAAACCCTCCTTTTATGACTTTTGATGGTGAAGTCAAGACGGATGTGAATAAGATCGAGGAGTTCTTAGAGGAGAAATTAGCTCCCCCGAGGTAGGCCTCAGAAAACTGGTGTTCGTAACTTGATTGTCGCTTTCCCCCACGAGTAGTCAATTCTACAGCTCTGGGCAGCGTGTGTGTGGTTTTCTGCAGCCCACGGAGCTCACTTCCTTCATCATACCCCTGGTGTAACCAGATTACAGTTCGGGGGCCTGGGCTTCATTGTGCTGCACCTGCAGCTTGGCAATCAGGGTTTGATGGCAGGAAGTGGGAGAACATGGGTCCAGGGTGGGTGATTGGCTGTATGCTAGACACCCTGCTGGAAGCTATGCGGTATGTGTTAGGAAGAAGTATCATGGATTGTTGGACCTCAGGGGAACTATTTCTAGTCCATCCCCTTCATTTTACTAGGGAGGGACCTGAGACCAGCAAGGTCAGGTGGGTTCTTGTGTCCCAGGACTGGCCACTGCCAGGAATCAACAACAACCACAATCCAAACCTCTCCATCCAGTGCCATTCTCCTAGATCGTGTGACTTCCCAACTTTCGAGAGGAAAAGGGTCAGGAAAACATTGAAGGAAAGCTTTTCATTTTCATACCCAGAGAAAGTTGTTTTTCTCCATTGTATGGTATTGTCTTAACTAGAACATCGCTTGTCTGTGATCCTCCAATCTTGAACTTTTCAAGGTATCCCAAGCTGGGGACCCAGCACCCCGAGTCTAATTCGGCAGGAAACGACGTGTTCGCCAAATTCTCAGCGTTTATAAAAAACACAAAGAAGGATGCAAACGAGAGTGAGTACCTCCCATCCTCCTGTTTTCTGTTTCAACACGGACTTGAGCCTTAGCACGGCAGCTCATGAGCTCCTGGGGCATTCTCATCTATGTCCCAGTGGGTAGAGAAGTGAGTCTGGAGATACAGAATAAGCTCCTCCAAACTTTGAATCTGCACGTGGGCTTCAAGAGATGGAATGCTTCTTTTGAGGCTGGGAACCCAGAAAACGACATTTTTAGGGAAAATAGTCACCACCCAGGTGTTCCAGCCACACCATGGGAATCATGTTCAATGATGTTTCTGCCAGTCCCCGCCTCCCCACAGGCTTTCCATAAATAGTTTTGAATAAATAAATGACTTCTAGAAGTAGCAATATTGTGTAGACAGCAGCAGTGTGATTTTCCAGGGAGGAGTGAGCCCTTTATTCAGATACTCTCCATCCACCTCCTGCCTTCCCAGCACCCATTGCTGGTTGGCCACGTCTCAGTGAGGAAGGGAAGCAAACTCCATCATAGCTGGTGAAAAGTGACACACACTTGCAAGACCTCTGTTTGTGATTTCTTGCCTTCCTGTTTTAGTTTATGAAAAGAACCTGCTGAAGGCCCTGAGGAAACTGGATAATTACTTAAATAGCCCTCTGCCTGATGAAATAGATGCCTACAGCACGGAGGATGCCACTGTCTCTGGAAGGAAGTTTCTAGATGGGGACGAGCTGACGCTGGCTGACTGCAACCTCTTACCCAAGCTCCATATTATTAAGGTTCGTCTTCTCTCCTGACACGTGTGCCGAGGACACGAACTGGGCTTTGTTTTGTTTTGTTTTTATTCGTGTTTGGGCCAGACATTTAAACGGTCTGAAATGTGGACACTTGGATTAAAAACACTAGTTCTGTTCAGGACAGCCGAGCCCCAGCTTTCGTACACACAGAAGATGGGCTTCGGGTGTTCTCGGGAAGTGCCTGGGAACGTGGCCCCACCTTCTGCTTCTCTCTCAGCCTGACTCACGCAGCCTAAAGAGAGGTTATGTGAAAGCAGCCTGAGGAATTTCATAGATTATACCTGGCATTAGCAATTGAGAATTAGAGATGAGGCGTGTGGAATCTGGGGCTGTTAAAATGTGAACTCGGTCAACTGTTGGTGACTGTAGGGCTCTACACGGCCCTTTCTAGGCATGACAGAGGAGTGTCCTGTTAGCTCTTAACAGTGACCCTTGGCCAGGTGCAGTGGCCTGTAATCCCAATGATTTGGGAGGCTGAGGTGGGAGGATCACTAGAGGCCAGGAGTTCAAGACCAGCCTGGGCAACATAGCGAGACCCCCATCTATACAAAAAATAATTTTAAAAAAATTAGCCGGGCATGGTGGCATGTACCTGTAGTCCCAGCTACATGGGAGGCTGAGGCTGGAGGATCACGTGAGCCCAGGAACTTGAGGCTGCAGTGAGTTAAGGAGGTGGCATTGCACTCTGGCCTGGGTGACAGAGTGAGACCCCATCTCTAAAAACAATTAGGTTATTAATTATTTATTTGAAAAAAATCATGGACCTTCAACATCCAGGGAGCAGCTGGCAGCTTTTGGCTGAGTCTCTGCCATATTTGGTGCCCTGCCTTCACATATAGTAGCTGAACATGATTTAAGAGCCATGAGTCATGTATTACTAGGGCTCAAAGACCTCCCAGACCAGTGGTTCTCCAACGTTAGTAGGCATACAAACTGTCTGGGGAGCTTTTTAGAAATGTGAGTCCCCAGACGGGGCGTGGCAGCTCACGCCTGTAATCCCAGCATTTTGGGAGGCCAAGGTGGGCAGATCACGAGGTCAGGAGATCGAGACCATCTTGGCTAACACGGTGAAACCCCGTCTCTACTAAAAATACAAAAAATTAGCCGGGTGTGGTGGTGGGTGCCTGTACTCCCAGCTACCTGGGGGGCTGAGGCAGGAGAATTGCTGGAACCTGGGAGACAGACGTTGTGGTGAGCTGAGATCGCGCCACTGAACTCCAGCCTGGGCGACAGAGCAAGACTCCATCTCAAAACACACATACACCCACACACACACACACACGAAATGTAAGTCCCCGATCCACTGCTTCCAAGCGTGACCCCTGGAGCTCCAAGCAGATATCCCCACACTTGGACTCCCTAGCTGTTGGTGTTTCTCAGCAAAGCAGCCCTCCCAGCCGCTCTATCACTTACAGAAGTCGAATGTGATTGTTATGATGAGATTGCTATGTCCTTGGCCCTTAGCAGCTCCAGATACCTCAGGAGGAAGCCCATGCCTGGCTCTGGGGCATTTTAATGATTAAAATCCTGCCAGGGCCGGAGCCAGGTGGTTGGTATAAGGGTAGGGGAGATGGAAGAAACACTGGGAAAAATAAGTCATGGACTGCGTGTTCTAATAACCCATTTAGTTAGCATTTAGAAATTATAAGTTAGCGGCCAGGCGCAGTGGCTCATGCCTGTAATCCCAGCACTTTAGGAGGTCAAGATGGGCAGATCACTTGAGGCCAGGAGTTTGAGACCAGTCTGGCCAACATGACGAAACCTCATCTCTACAAAACATTAAAAAATTAGCCAGGTGTGGTGGTGTGCACCTGTAGTCCCATGCATCCGGGAGGCTAAGGCACGAGAATCACTTGAACCCAGGAGGCAGAGGTTGCAGTGAGCACTCACTCCAGTCTGGGCAACAGAGCAAGATTGTATCAAAAAATATATAAATAGATAAATAAGTTACAGGTTAACTTCATACAGTCTATGGTGCTGAGGCTCCTGTGGGCACTGACCACCCTTGGTGACTCTGCTCCATTCTTTTGCCTTTGTCTTCCTGCATTTCTTCTTTCTATCCTCTTCTCTCAGTCCTGGCCCTGTTGCTCCCTTTTTCTCCCTTTCTTTTTGTGCTTGAGGTTACTGACTTGAAATGCAGGCCTTCAGGAGGTTGCCGATCCCTTGGGCAGATGTCTTTTCAATAGCCTTGCCAGTCCAAGGACATCCAAAATTTAATGAAAGCATCTCCACCCCTCAAAACCTGCTAAATTTGGGAGCTGCCTTCAACAGGATATTTATGTAGTTGTGTTTTGACTAAGTCCCTTCTGGTCAATGCTTTTTAGTCCCTACTGTGACCAGCATAGCATTGCAGAAATATATGAACGTTGAGGAAGAGGGGGAGAAATATCCCAGCCACAGAGCATTCGTGGCCCCTTGTGTAGCTCCCATGAGAAAAGAGGATTTTAAATTTCAGTAGAAAGGGTAAGCTTTACAGTGAGATCGCAGTTCACGGCTCCACTATAAGACCCAGCAGCAAAATCTACAAAGCCATTTAGCACTCAACACCCAATAGCTTAATGATCTTCCAGGATGGAGTACTTCTGCAAGGAAATGAGAATCAATCTAAGGGAATTATGGTAAAAGATGAGAGTGTGAAGGGATTTATAATTTATTCCCCTGCCAGAAACCCAGCAGAAACAATATAAAAATAGGGTATTAGCGTCATCTTTTGTAAAACTACGAAGGGATGACAGATCACCGACTTAAAGAGTGGGAAGCTTCTTTCAGTGGGAGGAGCCACAGAACCATTACGTGTTTCTCCATATCATTAGCAAAGTTCAGATTTCTCAAAAGGTAAAGGACACAGTCCTGAAATCCCCAACTCAAACTTCTTTGCTTGAGGACTAGAGCATGAGGCGGGCCAGGAGGGAGGCAGGGACCTTCCCAGTAGAGACTATTGTTGAGCTGAGAGCTCTAGGGAGGCAGAATTGAAGGAGGAACCATACAGAGGCACCATCTTTCTAGGCTGTGACCCAGCCCCCAATCCACAGGAACAGTCTGGAGGGGAAGTAAAGTGGGAGGAAAGGAGGGAAGTGTCATTTTGCATTGTGACTGCTGAGCAGAGAAAATAAATTAAGTCAGGAGAGAGATTACGAATTGCCCAAGCTTCGTTTTTAGCCACAGTGGCCTTCTGCCTAATCTGTGAGCCTCAGAGTGGAGGATGCCCTAACCCTAACCCTAACCCTAACCCTAACCCTAACCCTAACCGTAACCCTAACCCCAACTCTAATGTGTCTCTCTGGGGCAGAGCAGTGGTTGGTGAGAAGGTGCTTGGGAGCAAATATTCCAACTGGCTGGCCACCTGCCCTGTCTCACTCCCTTTGCCCTCCCCACTGCTTTTAAACAAATGATAGGTCCAGTAGATCTGCCTCATTCAAAGATGGCCAGTACCAGAGAGAATGCCAGTGAGACCTTGGTGTAGACAGAGTTGATTGAAAAGGAGGGGGTTGGAGGGAGGAACAATAAAGACAAGAAACAAAAACAGAAAAAAGGCAGATGGGAAATACATATATGATCAAGAACTGCTCCTCCAGCACATCAAAGAACATTTCATACAGAAACTTTTCTACAGCCTCAAAGAAATGAAAGAGAATATGGGCTTTTTGAGAAAAAACTCGAAGACAAGACACAAGATGTTGAAAAATACACTATCACAGAGGGGATGGCAATCAGGCTGGCAGAGATCAAGAAGAAAAGTAAAGACAAATAAAAGAACTGCAGAAATAAAAGTCCCGTTAGAAGTCGTAAGGCGCAGACAAAGACATTGCTGAAATTGATTTCCTCTGACATTCGCACACATCTTGTAGAGTTGGTTGTGGTATGTGGTGTGTGTTTGTAGCCTTGCTGTCAGTGATTTGGAAGACAAGCCTGAGAAAATCATCTAAAATCAAATGGGGAAAAACAAAAAAGGTGATTAGAGAGATCCCAGGTATACACCAGGGACAAGAGAACAGAAAAGGAAAAGGAAAAAAAAAAAGGGAGTGTTCAAGGAGGAAATGACTTGCTCTAAAAGATGACCTGAATCTTTAGTTTAAATAACATGCCATGTTAAACATAGCCCCAGAAAGAGCAACACACTGAGACATACTTGATACATTACTGAGCTTTGAGAATAAAAAATAACCCTTTTTGGCACCTAAACAACAATAATACTATAATAACAATAACAGTAATAATAATAAAAAGAATGAAATCGACTAAAGTCACTGAAATAGGGAAGAAATTCGGACTGGCCCCAGATGTCTTCATGAACCCATTACAAGTCAGAAAATTGTGGTTTAACATCTACAGAGAATTAAGGAAAAGGATGTGTGAGGTAAGAATTTTATATCTAGGCAATTACCATTTTTACCTAGACCTCTGGTCTCTTTTTTAAAAAGCATAAAATTGCTCTATGATGACATAATAAAATCATAATCAAAGTAAGAATCCGGAAACAGAGAAGGTATGTGAAGTGAAAGAACAGGCACTAAACAGAGAACTCCTTTAAATCTGAAACTGGTTCTAAGACCAAACAGTAGTGGGAATTATAGGGACAGAACAGAGTCAGAATATAATAAACTATGTTGTTACCACCATTGGAAGGAGGATAAGGGAGAAGAAATGGAAAGAATCATAGATACATAAACTCCCTCATCTGTCATCACCACGAGTTAACAGGCAGCATCTAAAATGAAGGCTGGGTGCAGTGGCTCACACCTGTAATCCCAGCACTTTGGGAGGCTGAGGCGGGTGGATCTCTTGAGGCCAGGAGTTCAAGACCAGCCTGTACAAAGTAGTGAAACCCCGTCTCTACTAAAAAGACAAAAATTAGCTGGGTATGGTGGTGCATGCCTGCAATCCCAGCTACTCGGGAGGCTGAGGCAGGAGAATCGCTTGAATCTGGGAGGCGGAGGTTGCAGTGAGCTGAGATCTTCCACTGTACTCCAGCCTGGGTGACAGAGTGAGACTGTCTCAAAAAAACAGAAAACAAAACAAACTTGATAAATCAAGAAATACAGAATTCCTATATATTTAAAGTCATATAGGAAACCACTGGAGAGTTAACATGATCATAAACCTTTTAAATGACCAGAAAGGGAGACACACACATGCATACAGAAGAAAGACAGAAAACCAAGTTCAGTGACACATTCAGAGGCATGGCCTTAAACGATGTACACAGGAAAGTTAAAACAAAAATATGGGCAAAGAAAAACCAGGTACATACAAACAAAAGAAAAGCGGACTTCTTAACATGAGTATCAAGAAGTTGGCATTCAAGGAAGAGGTGTCAAACAATTTAGGAGGCTCTTTGAAAATTATATGGTCCTTCTTTGCTGTCACATTGCATCAATGATTGCTGTCCTCCGAAGTCTGCGCAGTAAGTCCCGAAGATCTTCTCGTTAATCCCACACCTGCATCATGCAGACATCCGGGGAACCAGTGGGATGGGAGGCAGCGAAGCCGAACTGGCCTTTGTGGCTCCGGGTGTCTACTTCAAGCTGAATCGTGCCCTCCTCCCAATTCCTGTGTTGATATCCCAACCCCCAGTAGCTCAGAATGTGACCTTATTTAAAAACAGGGTCTTCACAGATGTAATTAGTTAAAATAAAGTCATACTGAAGTGAGATGGACCTAATCCAGGATGGCCAGTCTCCCTGCAAACCGGGGAAATTTGGAAACACAGACACAGGGAGAAGGCCGTGTGAAGATGGAGTTATGCTTGTACAGCCAAGGCACTGCCAGAAGTGGAGAGAGATCCTTCACTAATGCCTTCCGAGGATGCGTGACCCTGCTGATACCCTCATCTTGGACTTCTGGCCCCCAGAACTAGGAGTCAGTAAAATTCTGTTGTTCTAAGCCTCCCAGCATGTGTTGCTTTATTATGGCAACCCTAGCAAACTGGCACAGTCCCCAGTGTCCTGCACATCTTTCTGACTAATTCCCCAGCTGTACCCCTCTTGCTAGAGGAAGCATCTCACGCCGCTGTGTTTTTCGTGATGCTGTTTCTCGACTGCTTTTTCCTTACACCCACCGTCCCCATGAGGGTATGGATTTGCAACTGCTTTGTTCATGAATCTATCCTCTGCACAGGTGGGCCCTGCAATTAGACGATGCTCTTAGTGGCAGCATGATGGCATTCAGGAGGAATAAAATGCACAGATGTTTGGGACTGCAGGAAGTGAGGTTCAGCAAGTAGGAAGAAGAGAGGGCACCATTTAAATGGCAGATCCGACATGCATCTTTATTCACAAAGCACCTAATAACATAGTAGCACAACATATGGAAAGAATAACAGGCAACACAAGGAGAAATCCACCAGAGTCCAAAGCATACTCATGCCAGCGGATCCCAAGGCCCAGCTGTGACAAACTGGTGGGGACTATGTGCAGCCACTGTAGTGAGTCCAGGACCTTTAGAGCCCTCCCCACACCCAAGATGGCCCTATGCAAGTCAAAAGGCCGTGGTGGGTAGCCCGGATGACTATAGGATGACATGGGAAGCTGGGAAAGAATGTATTACATGCCTCAAAAGAATGGACTGTCTGACTTGGGAGCCTACCTTAGTAAGTTTCCCCTTTACTGATGATTTTCTCTTCATTTTCAGATTGTGGCCAAGAAGTACAGAGATTTTGAATTTCCTTCTGAAATGACTGGCATCTGGAGATACTTGAATAATGCTTATGCTAGAGATGAGTTCACAAATACGTGTCCAGCTGATCAAGAGATTGAACACGCATATTCAGATGTTGCAAAAAGAATGAAATGAAGCTGGGCTGTTTTCTGTCTTATTTTTCAGTTGAGTGAGAGAGGATATGAAAAGAGTGTGTTCTATGCATTTCCCCCAAATAAGTCCTTCACAAAATAACACCTGTAGTGGGATCCACTCAACCCCAAATGATACACGGCCTTGTAATTTGTCAACTCACTCATGTATCTGAATATACCAGTATCTGTTGCTAGACACACCAATTGTTCAGTTTATGTTAATTTATATCTGTGACATTCACTGACATTGGAATCTATGATATTTAGAGCACGTGTTTTTCATTTTAAATTTGAAAACAAATTAGGTTTGGGTTCAATTCCTTCAATTTTTAAAAAAACTGGTCTGTCTCTGAGAGTTTTTTGTTTTTTTTTTTTTTTTGAGACGGAGTCTCGCTCTGTCGCCCAGGCTGGAGTGCAATGGCGCGATCTCGGCTCACTGCAAGCTCCGCCTCCCGGGTTCACGCCATTCTCCTGCCTCTGAGAGTTTTTAAAATCATTGAGAGCCTGTTTTTCTTCTCTAAAACATTAGCTACATTTTTTTTTTCAAAATGAAAATACTGCTTTGTAATTACAAACTGAGACACACCTGTCTTGATATTTTAAAGCAATGTCAGAGGGTGTAAAGAAGGACATTTTAAAAATCACCTACAATTTTACTCCACTTAATTACTGAAAACTTACTGGAGAACATCTTCCAAATCTTCAGTATCTTGCTGTCTCTCTCTCTCTGACACACACACACACACACACACACAATTTCATTCATATATGGTATTGCATTATTTTATTTTAAAGCACTGGTGAGGGGACCTCTTAGTAATACCTGGATGATCATACACAGAGGACTTACACCATACGAAAAGATTGGGCACTGCAGTATCAGAGAAGATGCTTGAGGTTAGATTTTAAGGAGTGGGGAATTGTGGAGCCCACAGATGCGCATGCAAGGACCAGCAGGAACCGGAAGCCCTGGGTCACCCCCACTCTGCCTCATTTCTGCTTCCAGGATGCCACTGCCTCTGCTTCGAGGAAAGGCAAGGAGGAGGGTGCTTATCGGTGCCTCTGGTTCCAGCTTCCTGTCCTTGCTCCCTCCCCTCTCTTGGAGACTGTGCCTTCAGCAGGACTCTTAATATCTGCTGCAACTTGCAGAACCCTCCTGCCCTGAAACGTGAACCAAGCACACCTTGGTTCCTTCTCCTGGCGGCTCTCTCTGAGACCCAAGGCTGCAGTCCCTCAGTGCTGGTGGTATCGTGTGGGGCTAGCACGGTCACTGATGTTTTTCTGACCTTCATTGTCTCATCTAGACATCAAGCAGGGAAAATCCAGGGAGATTAAATTCATGGTGACAAGTCCTGGGCAGTTCTGGTAAATGGTCCGGTTAGGGAGGAAGTAGAAACTATTGACTCAAAAGAGTTTCTGGCTGATTTGTGGCTTTGCCTCCACCGTCCCTAACCAACCTCTCATCACAGCTTTGTGTGTGGGCCGAGTGCCGGCCTTAACCCCAGGCGTGGAAGAGAAAATGTGAGGTTGTTTAGATACTCATCAGGACCTCACAGGAGCTGAGCCTTATCGGCCAGAATGTGTTCCTCGGACATTCGCACACATCTTACTGAAAACCCTCCTGGTAGAGTTGGTTGTGGTATGTGTTTGATGCTATAAAGCTCATTTTTAATGTGCACACCTGCTCTAGGGGCAATTTATTTGAAAGAGAGTAAGATGCATTAACAGAAACTATCCTGGGATTAAGTGAAAAATGTCTAGCAAAAGAAACAAAGTCTTTAATAGAGTGATCTCTTTCTCCCCCCGCTTATGACTGCTGCAGTTTTACCCCAGCAGTCGGCCATCTTTGTCAACCATACGTTTTTTGGAGGTTGTGTCTAGCATGTGTCACCCTTGTCTATGTTGTTTCACATCTGGTTAGGGGGCAGATTTTAAAATGTAGTTTTGTAATGTTACATTTAAGCATGATGAATTATTAGACTACCAGATGTTACTAGTGCTAACTTTGTATTCTTAGACATTAAAATGATTGACATAAACTCTTTGTGCCTTGAAAAGGAAACAAATTATAAAAATGTTTAAATGGAACCAATTTCTTTAATTTTTCTTTTTTTGCATTCCCCATTCCCCATTTAGGTTTCAAGAAATAAAATGAATGGTATGGGCTTCTTTTAAAACGGTGAGGACAGGCCCAGCATAGTGGCTCATGTCTGTAATCCCAGCACTTTGGGAGGCCGAGACAGGCAGGTCACCTGAGGTCAGGAGTTCAAGACCAGCCTGACCAACATGGTGAAATCCCATCTCTACTAAAAACACAAAAATTAGTTGGGCATGGTGGTGGACGCCTGTAGTCCTAGCTACTAGGGAGGCTGAGGTGGGAGGATCACTCTAGCCTGGGAGGTGGAGGTTGCAGTGAGCTGAGATCATGTCACTGTACTCTAGCTTGGGCAACAGAGCGAGACCCTGTCTTAAAATAAAATAAAATAAAATAAAATAAAATGAAATAGTGAGAGCAAGTTTGAACCTGAGATTATGGGCATTTGAATTAGAGATAATCCATATTTCAGTTGTGAATCACAAAGGCATTTTAAAGGAGCCTTAAAGAGGCCTGCAAAGACACCCATGAACAGTCCTTGTCCAGGTGACTGGCATAGACAGCCTGCAGGGTGTTCCACTTTTACATGGAGTTGTAGGAAAGGGACTGGCTTTGGGTGGTCTTCCCCAGCCCCGCCCCAACTCTGCCTTCAGCTCCGCCCCCAGCCCACACCTCTTGATTCCCCTAAAAACCTACATGTGTGTAAGGAGGTAAGAAATATTCCAGGGCTGTTCTCCTGGACCAAAATCTTCATTACAGTGTGTTTTAAAAAACAAAATACATTTGTTCTTCAAGACATACCATACAAAATGTAAACATGGACAAATAGTGTATAAATTATACTTTTCAGGCTGTGTGGAAGTTTTTCTGGATGGAGAGGATTCCATTCTCAATTCTAGTTGCCCAAGAGGCCTGAAAATTAGTTTATAAAAACCCAAACCTTACCTTTTTTTTTTTTAGTTGAGACAGAGTCTTGCTTTGTCGCCCAGGCAGGAGTGCAGTGGCTTGATCTTGGCTCACTGCAACCTCCGCCTCCCAGGTTCAAGCGATTTTCCTGCCTCAGCCTCCCAAGTAGCTGAGATTACAGGGGTGTACCACCACACTGGGCTAATTTTTTTGTTTTTAGTAGAGACAGGATTTCTCCGTATTGCCAAGGCTGGTCTCAAACTCCTGAGCTCAGGCGATCCACTTGCCTTGCCTCCCAAAGTGCTGGGATTACAGGTGTGAGCCACCACGCCTGGCCTCCAAACTTTCCTTATAAACACAGAATGTCCTAAAGCAGGCTGGAAGGGAACATGAGAGCATCACGAGGTTCTACTTTGTGGATACTGCAGCATACGGAAATGCCATGACAGAATCTGCCCAGAAGAGCACTTTCAGAGACCAGAGGTCTCAATCATTTCCATTCTATAAGTCTACCTCTAGGAATTGAATATATGTTGAAGTCCTTCACCCCCAAGATGGGCGGACAGACAGACACACACACACAGTAGACACACATACGTGTGTACACCAATTTGTGACACCATTGTCACACACTCTCACATCCTCACAAGCACACTCCCACAGACAGACATTCATGCACACCCTCCACCCCCACCCCGCATGCAGGATGAGCTCCGTCCCCTCTCACCCTCCCCCAGTGGTAAGCAATAACTCACTCTTAGCACAACCCACCCAGCCCTCAAGTTCCCCCTTCCAGTGGTTCATAATTAGGCTTTGGAAGAATTTTAGATGAACGGCTTTAAAAAAATTTTTTTATTACTTTTTTGAGACAGGGTCTCACTCTGTCACCCAGGCTAGAGTGCCGTGACGTGATTTCAGCTCACTGCATCTCTGCACCCCGTCCCCAGTACCCCCTACCGCAGGCTTAAGCCATCCTCCCACCTCAGACTCCGGAGTATCTGGGACCACAGACACACACCACCACGCCTAGCTATTTTTTTTTTTTTTTTCATTTTTAGTAGAGACAGGGTCTCACCATGTTGCCCAGGCTGGTCTCAAACTCTTGAGCTCAAGCAATCCAGGCACCATGGCCTCCCAAAGTGCTGGGATTACAGGCATGAGCCACCATGTCCAGCAAGCTTTTAAAAAATTTTTTTACAAGAAAATCTCAACCCTTCTTTTATTTTACAGTTAAGAGAACCAAGATGTCCTTCATTCTAAGCACACATAATTCACAAAACCCTACATACATGAAATTGATGCACTGGGGGATGCTATTCATGTGACAAAATGACTTCTCTTTCCACATATGGTTGTAAGTCTACATTATTCTGTGGCCAGTTTCCCTTCAGACCTTGGTATTTTGGTTTAATAAGTTACATGCATTTTAGGGCATGGCCACCTTGTAAGGGATGTGTGGCCCCTGGTCACAGAAGGACTGACTACACTATTCTCCAGGGCCTTTGCAGGTCTGGGGCATCAGGAAGCCCTTTCTGCTTCTGTGATCTCAGGGACCCAGCAGGGGTGGCACCTGCCATTGCAGCTGGTGGATTGACAAGGTCGTTGTTCCCATTGCAGAGGGTTCTGGTGGAGTCCTCTACGAGCCTTGCCTTGAAGGAGGCCATTTAGGTAGGGAGAGTCGAAAGCTGCCTGGCGAAGTGGCGGGTCAAGTCCTGGTCGAGAGGAAATTGTGTTTAGCGGCATGGAGCTGCATATTTGGGAAGAGGAAGCCATTTATTTAGGTTATAAGGCCTGGGATCTGGCCACCAATGGGATCTTATCCAACCTGCATTCATTTTACCCTTCTGTGGGACTGCCTACCCTATTGTTCAGTCCTACCCTATTGTTCTGGCTCCCATGGCCTCTGGCTGTGTCAGCTTATCCTAACAACATTCTGGAAGAGAAGCTATTTTTCTTGATGACACCTCCCTCTCCCATCTCTTCCTTGATCCCCTTCTGTACTGGATTCTGTGATATACTCCTAGGTGAGTGGACAAGGACAGTGGCCATCAGTGGCTGGCCTAGGATTCCCTGTGGTTCAGCCCATCTGCTGGGCTCTGTCTCCCTGCAAATCCCTCTTTCCAGGTGGCTGACACTTGCGAGTCTGAGTTAGGTCTGTTTCTGAAGCTCTGACCTACATATGTAACCAGCACCTGCTAGAGCATCCTGAGGCTTTTTAAATCTTTTGGATCTTCCCAGGTTCCAGGAGAATTCCAGGGCCCGGAGAGAGAACCGTCCTTGCTTAGAATGTTTCTTGGTTTTGTTAAAGGGGATGTATTCAAATAGCATTAAGGTTTTTGTTTGCCTGCTTGCTTTTTCCTTCCTGGAATTAAGATGTAAAAAGTTCTGCAGGGTGCAGTGGCTCATGCCCACAATACCAACACTTTGGGAGGCTGAGGTAGGAGGATTGCTTGAACTCAAGAGCTTGAGGCCAGCTTGGGCCACATAGCAAGACCTTGTCTTTACTGAAAGTAAAACAAATTAGCCGGGAAGGATGGCGCCTGCCTATAATCCCAGCACTTTGAGAGGCTGAGGTGGGAGGATTGCTTGAACTCAAGAGTTTGAGATCAGCCTGGGCAACATAGCAAGGCCTTGTCTCTACTAAAACTAAAAAAACATTAGCTGGGTGGGGTGGTGCCTGCCTGTAGTCCTGGCTACTCAGGAGGCTGAGGCAGGAGGATTGTTGGAGCCTGGCAGACGGAGTCTGCAGTGAGCTGTGTAGACGGACTCTTGCTCTGTCGCCCAGGCTGGAGTGCAATGACGCGATCTTGGCTCACTGCAACCTCTGCCTCCCAAGTTCAAACAATTCTCCTGCCTCAGCCTCCCAAGTAGCTGGGATTACAGGCACGCACCACCACGCCAGCTAATTTTGCATTTTTAGTAGAGACGGGGTTTCTCATTGTTGGCCAGGTTGGTCTCAAACTCCTAACCTGAGGTGATCCCCCCCGCCTCAGCCTCCCAAAGTACTGGGATTACAGGCATGAGCCACCACACCCGGCCCACCTCTGGCATATCTGAATGAATATTAACCCTCTCAGTCTCACTCATCTTATCTGGAAAATTGGAACGACATTTCACAATAGTGTAGAAGATGGTGTCTTAGAAGTTCTCTATAAAAGCTGCAAAGCAGCTGGCTGTATACAAATTAATTTTTCTGGAATTCGCTCTTCCTATAGGGTAACAGCCCTGAAAAAAGTAATTTGTCAAAGTGGACAGGGTTTGAGTTCACCAGTGTATAAGACCTTGAACCTTCCTCACAGAGGCAGAAGGCAGTTATGCTCTGAATTCCTGGTTCCCTACAACAAGGCAGCAACCTGTGATATTGGTCACTACTCAGTTGTCCCCCTCGGCTGGTCACTGGGGGCTGTCCAGGGCTGGTCCAGCTGTCTGTCAGGCACATTGTAACCTGAACAGCCTCCACAGTGGGCGGACGGCTCTATCCAGGACACCTCTAGTCTAGCTTGGAGACACTGTTTTCAGTTTTGTGATATTTACTTGAAGCCCTGAGGGGTGGAAAAGCAGATCAAGCAATGTGGGTGGTCTCCCCAATGGCAAAGCCCTCCGCCCACCCAGGCCAGGCCCTCCTCCTCACCACTAGGTGGCGCTTCCTCCCATTCCCTGAAGCCAGGCGGGCCTTACCGTCACAGATACTAGTCGGATTGACTCCCATGGACTGATGCCCACACAGCCTTGAGCCTTCATCCAAACCTAGCCCAGCCCTCTGGGTGTCAGCCCAGGATGGCCCACGCATCAAAGGGCGGCCTTTCGGGGCCAGAGAAGCCAAGCGTGAAATAACCCTGCTGGTCTCAGCCCGGGCTTCCAGGATGGCCACACCCAAAAGGTCAGGCTGTGTTTTCCCATGTGCTAAAGAGTGTCTGCAGGAGGGGGAGCTCCTCTGTGTCCTGTGGCTTTCTGTTTGGCCATGGAAATACCTTCAAGGACTAGAAGGCCCTTGTCACGCCTAACTTGAACACAACTTGCTCTTGGTACCTTCTCACTCCTTTTCTTTTTGTGAAAACAGTGTTGGGGGAGTAGCTGGGCACTGCCTCAGGTACTTCAGAAATTGGAGAGAACGCTGGGACTCCTCTGAAACCTTCCCCCTCCAAGCCCAGGAGCCCAGTGTTCCCTCTTGAAGCCAAACGAGCCAACGGCTCAGAGATGGGTGAGGAGCTGATGGAAGGGGTAAGGTTCTGGATCCTGAGGTCCGAGGCTCCTGCTTCCTCTCCTCACTAGCCCTGGCTCCTGGGGCCAGCGCACCTCCCGGGGCCCACCTGTCCTCATGGCTCCTGCCCCAGAAGGCCAGGGCAGCCTGTGCATGTGGTCAGTGGAGGAGGCAGTCTCTCTGCTGTACCCCATGGCTGTGTCCCCCAAACCTCCTCCATGACTCCTCACCTGACCCTGAGGGATGGGGGCGCTGCACATGGTGGGATCAGAGGGTAAGGAAGTGGGGTTCTGCTGCTGGTGGGAGCACAGAGATCACTGCTGGACACTCAAGTGTCCATGGGGATGAGCCCCTATCCTATGGTCAACTTAATTGTTCCCCCATTAATTGCCAAGCAATCAATAAACCCATTGATTTGATTTCATTGTATAACTGTATTGAAAACAGGATGGGGTCTGGACACCCAGTACCTCTCGCTGGCCAGGTCTTGGTCCTTGGACTACCATCTAGTCTGTGCCTCAGCTATTTTGCTGGCTGGGAAGAAGAAAAAAGTGATGATTGTACTGTGATATGTTAGTGACTTTTATCACAATGCAGTGCTCAGCGCCTCTGTCACCAAAGTCTACCTCTTTTCTGGCTCTGTTTTGGATCCTGGAGGGCTGACTTAAGCAAATCCTTAGTAAAGAACCCAGCAGCCTCTCCTCAAACCAGTAGGCAGCTTCCGTACAGCCTCACAGAAAGGTGGCCCAGGAGTGACTTTATCCACATTTGCCTGCTCAGAAAAACAAACCACCATATCTAAAAAAGAGATTGACCTTGGAGTTTCCAGGAACAGAACTTAAAGGGGTGGGAAGGGGTGAGGAAGAGATAGGGAAGCAGGAAGGGAGGGAATGGGAGGAGAGAGACTCTGTGGCAATGGCAGAGGAGATTGTGGCACAGGCCACAGGTGTGTAAGCCCCGTAGACCTTCTGGGAAGCTGCGAGTTGCTTTGTGATAAGATTTGTGAATAGGGGGAGGCCAGTGGCCCCCAGACCTGCCTAGACACTCTGCCCAGACTCCAGCCAGCCCTTTTTTGTCATTTCATGTGTTAAAGCACTTAACATGTGTATAGTAGTATGTACTTATCATTTGGCTACATTTTCCCCCAAGTGTGGACTGAACTAAGATAAAAGAAAAAACACAAGTTATTTTCCTAAGGTTCTTTGCCTCTTCATTTTTATATATGTCACTGACTGAGCTGCAGAGGCCTGTTTCTGGTGACATGATTCCTTCTTATGATCTTGGGATCTCACACATGTGGAGCCAAGAAACAGAAAATGAGATAGGAAGGTGCCCAGAGTTCTTGGACAGTGCTGAGCTGTAGGACTTGCTTTGCCTCCATTGGTATCTTTCGATGGCTTGTTTTTGTTTTTGTTGTTGTTGTTTTTCAGCTCATAAATGACTTACTGGTTCCAAAAGACAGTATTGTTCAAAAGAAAAACTTCAGGTCATTTGACGATAGTTCAGGTGCTGGGCAGACCTCTCTGCTGCATACTTTGGCATATTTTCACCAGCTTGGGCAAGGGAAAGAATTTGTTGTCTAGAGTACCGTACTGGAACGCATAAAGATTAAAAAGAAGGCCACAAAAATGCTCCTGCTTTTAAAAAATGTGCAATTACAATAAGAAGATAGAATGGTGCCCAGAAAGAGACCCAAGGACACGTGTCATGGAAACCAAATGGATAAGCGGGCAAAGTATACACTTAAGAACTTTTGCAAAGTTGCTGAGGCTGAGAGACTGCTACCACAAATGAAGTGATACGAGTGATGATGTACATTTGCAGAGCGCTTGACAGTGTGCAAAGCCTACACAAGCACTGTGTCATTCCAGAGGTCACGAGTGTGTATCACTCACTGATGAGGAGGTTGTGACGGCAGCAAGGTGGCTGCCATCTTGCCTGGTGGTCATGCAAGGATCTTACTTGCTTCTTCCTCATGAGTAAAGGGTGTTGGACACCACAAGGACTTTGTTCTGCCAACTTTGGGGCCCTTGCCCCATCTAGAGGGGGCAGAACATTTCAGCTGGAGAACTGGAGGCTTAAAGGATAACTGATGGCAGTAGATGGAGGGAGGAGTGATGACTGAAGGCTCACCCGCCTTGCATCTTTCATCTGAAAACTAAAAACTTGGACTAGATTGGTGATTTTTTTTTTTTTTTTTTTTTTGAGACAGAGTCTGGCTCTTTTGCCCAGGCCGGAGTACAATGGCACCATCTCGGCTCACTGCAACCTCCACCTCCCAGGTTCAAGCAATTCTCCTGCCTCAGCCTCCTGAGTAGCTGGGATTACAGGCATCTGCCACCACACCCTGCTAATTTTTTTGTATTTTTAATAGAGATGAGGTTTCACCATGTTGCCCAGGCTAGTCTTGGACTCCTGACCTCAGGTGATCCGCCTGCCTCAGCCCCCCAAAGTGCTGGGATTACAGGCCTGAGCCACCGCACCCAGCAATTGGTGGGTTTTCATTCCTGGCTCCATATGAGAATCCTCGGTGTGGCTGTAAAAACTACCAATACCCACGCCACACTTTAGACCAGCTGAATGGGAACCTCTCGGCTTGGACACTGGTTTTGTTAAACTCTCCCTAAGTGATTCTCAGGGGGAGCAGGATTAACAGCCATTGGCTGGATGCTCTGTAAAGTGATTTCTAGCTCTGTCTAATGTCTGGGGGCTGGGTTAAAACAGCATCTGGTGGGGCTGGGCGACGAACAGAAGTGATGGAGAAGGCTGCACCTACCAAGTATTTCTACTCTTGGGGAAGTTGGTTGAGATTAGCTCTGGGCACACATATAAAACCCAGTGTACTGGATTATACAGAGTCCCCTCAAAATTTGTGTCTACCCAAAACCTCTGAATGTGACCTTATTTGGAAAAAGGGTCTCTGCCGAGGTAATTGGTTAAGTTCAGATGAGGTCATGCTGGATTAAGGTGGGCACTAAGCCCAGTGTAACTCATGTCCTCCAAAGAAGAGAAGACACACAGAGGAGAATGCCATGTGAGAATAGAGGACGAGGCTAGAGTGAAGCTGCCACAGCCAAGGAAGGCCAAGGATGGTCAGCAACTGGCAGAAGCTGGGAGAGGGAAGGAAAGATTCTTCCTTCCAGCCTTCGAAGGGAGCACGGCCCTGCTGACACCTGGATTTGAGACTCATGGCCTCCAGAACGGTGAGAGAATAATACACTTCTGTTGTTTTCATCCACCCAGTCTGTGGTATTTTGTTACTGCAGCCACAGGAAACCAAGCCACCTGGTAAGGTTTGGGTCTCAAGACAGCTGAATCACCTCGTCATTGCTTAGCAATGAAAGATGCTAGAGCTGATAGCACATTTAACATGAGAGGAAAGCTGGGCTGTCAGGAGAGCTGTGTCCTGTTTCCAGGCACAGCAAGGACAGCTAGATTCAGACTGAGGCAAGACCTGAAATGGATGCCCTGTCGGAGAGCATTGGTGATTTACCCCACAGGTAACCATTGGCTCATTTTGTGCTACAGGAAAGGTGAGGAGATGGGAAGTCGCTGAAAGACTTGAGTTTTGATCTTGGCTCTGTCACTTCTGGCTGTGTGGCTCTGGGAAAAATAGCTAATGTCTCTGGACCTTGGTTCCTCATTTGTCAAATGCAGGAACTAGATGACATAATCTGCTATGCAGTTTCCAACTATTAAGTTCTAAACGCTGGGCCAGAGAGAGACAGGTTTAGCATCAGTAATAACATGTGAGAATAGTCCCCCAGGCATAGGAATGCATCATGCTCCTTGCAGCTCATGCCCCAGATCTGATTCTGAGTTCAGACATTGTTAGCCACTTGCTTTAGGGATTTTTGGTGGACATGTTGCTTTCTGGTACAGCTACTCCAAAATTTAGGACATTGATGTAGTCTGTGACTAAATTAGCAATGTCTAATCATTTGATTGTCTGACATCACAGAAGGATTAATCACCCACAAGATCTAATGAGCTTCTTTTCCTAGAACACATTCTACATGATCAACAAGACCTTTGATGAATCCAACAGCCAGAGATCTTATGAACCTTTCCCAGGACCCCCACTACCCACCTCTCATCCATGCAGCAATTTACCAGGCCTGTATGTAAAACAAGCTCTGACCTTGAGGATTCACCTTGAGGGGAAAAGTGGGTACAGAAAACGTGGATATGGAGAAAATGTGGATACGTTTCCTCTCTGCAGTTCCTAGGATGTTGCATTAGTTTTCTATGTCACATAACCAGAAACTTAGTGGCTTAACACAACATGTATTTATCATCCCACAGCTTCCATGAGTCAGGAATCTAGGCAAGGAATAGCTGGGACTTTCGCTCAGGGTGTCACTGGCTAAACTCGTGGTCAGCCCAGGGTTGTGATTCTGATGTGAGACTCAAAGTCGGCTTCCAAGCTCATGAGCTGCTGATGGAATTCTGCTCTTTGCATTTGTGGGACTGAGGGCCTCAGATCTGACAGACCACTCCCTTGCCACGCAGCCTTCTCCATAACATGGCAGTTTGCTTCTTCAAGGCATCTGATGGGAGAATGTCTCTGCTGCCTCAAATCTTTCCAACTTTCTCCATTTCTGACCTCTAGACCTTCTTTCAAAAGGCTCGCATGATTAGGTCATCCCCTCCCAGGATGGGTAGGCTCCATTCTGATTAACTTGAAGTCAACCGATGAAGTCAGGCTGATAGAGGATAACGTACCAAAACAAAGTCAACTGATCAGGAACTTCAATGACATATGCAAAATCCCTTCTCCTTTGCCCTGGAATGCAGGCTCATCACAGGAGTGGTCTTCCATCGCATTCACAGGTCCTACCCACCCTCGAGCGTGGGAGAGTTATACAGGGCTTGAACACCGAGGCGTAGGAATCTTGGGGTCATCTTCAAGTTATCCTGCTAGAGAAGAGACTGGGGATCTGTGATAACCCTCCCCGGGGAAGTCGCCCTCATCAATACACAAGCCAGGGCTGAGATCAGCTGGGATAGTAAAACCTCACTTTTCAGGGGGTCCCAGGCCATACTCTAGCATCAGGTGTCTGCTGCATATCTTCTTGGCAAATCTCCTTGAGACACTTTTACTTCTAATCCTTAGGCTCAAACACCTGTGGAGCGGGAAGTATGACATTTCCGCGAAGTCCTCTTCACTTGAGTCCCAGGTCCCTCTGACAAAGCAGGAGTTTGTTGACCTTCTAGTCCTGGCACCAAATGTACCTGTTTACTCAGCTTTTGCCAGAGGGTGGGGAGAGAGGGTGGAGAAGAAGGAAGGGCTGTTTTGCAGTTGGTCAATGACATGCTTTGTTATAGTTATTCTTCATGTTGTGCAGGTGGCCAAGTGTCTCAGGTACAAGGTAGACAGATTTCTCCCCCTTAGTCTTCCCTGCATTCAGTCCCCAGCCAGTGGGTCACATTCAGAATAATAATAGGAATAATAAAGGTCACAGTTCCTGCTGTGGTAGGAAAGATTATCTTTAGAAAGAAATAAATAATCTGGGAGGAGTTACATGGAGTTTAGAGAAACAAAACAGACACCAACTCGCCCTTATTCCCTGAGTTTCATTCTGTGTTATTCATCAATGCCTGTTTGATGGTTTCATGTCTTGATGCATCTTTTATTGTCCATCTTTTGGCCATGGATACTCTTGGATTATGCATCCAAACTAAGCATAGTTTTTCAAGCCACAAGACTTGTGGGGGTAATGGACTGGGTTTCTCTTACTCATGGTGCAAGACACTTCAGATTCATAAGCCTATGGATTTTTGTTTGTTCGTTTGTTTTTATTTTTGTTTTTTGAGATGGAGTCTTGCTCTGTCATGCAGGCTGGAGTGCAGTGGCATAATCTCAGCTCACTCAACCTCTGCCTCCCAGGTTTAGGCGATTCTCCTGCCTCAGCCTCCTGAGTAGCTGGTATTACAAGTGTGCACCATCATGTCCAGCTAATTTTTATATTTTTAGTAGAGATGGGGTTTCATCATGTTGGCCAGGCTGGTTTTGAACACCTGGCCTCGAGTGATCCACCCGCCTTGGCCTCCCAAAGTGCTGGGATTAGTTGGTCACTATGACTGGCCAAGCCAATGCATTTTGAATCACGAGGACATGAAAATCTCTGTCAAAATAAGAATGCTGAGTTGGAGAGTGGAGGCAAAAATGTCACTCTGGGTTTGTGTGGACACAAGAACCAAGAGAGGCCTCCTTGTAAAATGAATGTGTCAGAGCAGACACTACATGGCCAGAGACCTAGTCCTCAGACCTCAGACTTCTTAGTGCTAAATGAGAAATTTGGCCTACACATTGTCTCCAAAGTCTCTTTTTGGCAGTAAAACGCTTTGATTCTATATGACACACAATTCTCCACACAGCCTGTGTAGCTATGTGACGACTTTACAACTTTCATAAGAGCCACTTTCAAATAAATCATGAACATCTCACAGCAGGAAGAGATGACAGGTGACCAGCTTTCAAGTTTGGGTTGGTTTGGTAATTTTCACCAGAAAATCATCTCCTGAGGACAGAGATATTAAATAATGCAATGTCATTATGTCTTTAAAAAAAAATTAAAAATTTAAAAGTGTTATTTACCATTCTAGTTCTTGAGTTTTTATGTTCTGGGAACAAAATGGCATTTTTGTTTTGTTTTGAGAGAGATGAAAACAATCAAGGCATTCTGACTTTGTTCTCAGTAGCTATCTCATTCGTAATGTTGAATGCGATAAAAGCAGTTTCCTTGGTAAGAAATGAATGTATAGTTTCAACCACAATATGTCTTCACAGATAAAATGATTACTCTCTGTATTAATAAGAACATTTTCTGGGCCTCCCTGTGAATGTGATCTTCACAGAGTTACATGTTCCCACCTTGTCCTGAGGACCAGATCCAAGAAACGTTCTCCATGAGTGCAGGTGAGATGTGACTTGGCTCTGTGGCTCTGTAAGACATTTCTGGGTAGGAATAATTACTAAACACCGAAATGGCTGAAATGAGGGGGAACGACGTTTCCTCTCAGCAGATCTTGATAAAGGAAGCATCGCCTCTCTCAGAGATGTCTTAGGTTGGCCCTGTCTGGCAGCCAGAGAACTGGTTAGATCAAAGTTAGATATCACCTATCAAAGTGATATCAAGGATGTTGATTTTCTGTGAAAGAGCTTCTACTCAGTATTTCTGAGAAGTCTGACAATCCATTTCCATTTTTAAAGAGGATAAGCTTTTGAAACGCAGTGGCACTCACAGGCAAAATTTGAAATGCTACCCTCAGGGACCACCATGTTCGCAATGCCAAGGCAGGGGTCTTTTGCACCTGGAATACTAGGCTTCCCTCTTATGGTGAAGCCCCTGAGCTGTTTTCCTGATGGGCTTGATAGTGCAATGGTGATTTGCCACCCCAGGAAATCCAGTCCTCAACCCCTGAGATCACAAGAGCCTTCTCTGTTTGCTCAATGGAGTCTGGCCAGTCCTGGCTCTCTCCTACGCTGTGTGCAAGTTTGGATCTAGAACTCAGAGCCTGATGATTAGCTAATGCCTGAAGCTCATTTTTGTGTCACCATGTAATATCAGGAGAATAGGAAGTCCCAGCTGCCCACTTTTCCTCTCCCCATCCTCAGGCCTTCAGGATACACTATTTATACATGTGCGTATGTGTATGACAACATGAAACATGAATTTCAGATCCCCTCTTCAGAAGGGGAATGGAGGAGGAAGTTGAAGTGGATGAGAATCCAGGAACAGGGTTTAGCATTGGTGAGAGTGGCAAGATGACTCAGTCTTGGGTTTTTAATCAAGGGATCTTAGTGAAGAACAGCATATCCTTTGTTGGGCAGAATATAAAAACGCAAAATAGAAGCCAGTAGAGATTTAATAAACAGAGCAATCAGTAGGGCTTGGCAGGAAGATGTGCACACAATGGCTACTTTAATCTGGTGGAGATGAGCTTTGGTGCAATGGTGAGTGTTGGTTTCCATTGACACTGACTTGAGTTGATTCAGGAGTCAATGAAGAACATTTTGGATCAATTTGGACGATTATTCACAAGCAGTAATCCCACAGTGTTCACTGTTTTCCAGGAACTTTAAAAACAATAGAAAGGGTTATTCAGGGATAAAGCATTTTTTCCATTTTCAAATGCTTTCAGAGGTTGGCTCACCTTATTCAGGTGAGGCATATAAGTGCGGTTAGTGTGAGTATTGAGGCTACCAAACAGTTGTAGATGTTTCCTTAAGACCAATCTTACCAGTCTTATTCCCCGTCTTTCTTTCTCCTACCTCCTGAACTGGGACTTAGAATAACTGGGCAAAGCATTGCGTGGCCTTGGGCAAATTGTTTGATTTGCTGACTCTCAACTTACTCACCTGGAAGACACCTTTTCTACCCAGTTCTTGAAACTGTTATGAGAATGAACGGGAAAGTGCATAAAAATTGGAAATACTAGGTACAAGCAAAGATTATGTTTTCTCCTGTTTTGGGGCTAGGTTTTTGTGTACAATAAGTGTTTCCATCAGAAGCAATTGACACCAATGCAGAGCCATCAACAGGAGGAGAATTTGCATTTGGACAACTCCTTGAAGGATGAAGAAAGAGGCTTCAGGAGGCAGAGCAGCCTTATGGGCAGAGAGTTCAGTGGAGGAATCAAGTCAGTCTGTTGTGGAGAAGGCCTTGAATAGGCCACTTTTTCTCCTCAAGGTCAACAAGAATCACACCTGTTTTTTTGAGATTACAAGAGGAAATGGAAGAAAAATTATCTTGACCTTGTCTAAACAACAGTGTCAAGGGGTACTATCTCACTTTTAATGTTCACTGCCTAGCTCTGTCCCAGATACTGTTTGTCCCTGAAAAACCTCCTCAGGAAGAGCCCCTCGACCTGGGAGCCTGGAAGGAGGTTCCTTTTGAGTGCAGTTTGCTTCTGAAGCCATAGCCAAGCACACAGGACCCATATCCACATCTAGTCTGATTGACTTCCTCTAGTCGAAAATGCATGTGAAGGGCCTTGCTAAGGCATAAGCCATATTTCTGCCTTCCTTGCTTTTAGCTGTTCCCCATTGTCTCATCTAGATTGTGGGTCACTGTTAAAAATGACCATAAATCTTTAGAGAAAGCAAGTATTAGGTTGGTGCAAAATGAATTGCAGTTTTTGCCATGAAAAGAGATGGCAAAACCAACAATGCCTTTTGCACCAACCTAATATTACAAAGCAGCTGGGATTACATGAGAGAACACATAGGAAAGCAAGGTGTAACACATGTGTTCATTATGTTGATGGTTATCTCGTTAGTCACTAACTTTCTAAATTAATTGAGAAACTTTTTAAAGAACCAGAAGAGAGATGGGCATGACTAAAAGAAAATGTTTAAGACCAAAGAACAGCAACCCGCCTTTTAACTCACTTACTTACCATTGACAGCTATACTACTCACCTACCAGAAATGGCTTTTGCGTCCAGGAGCTCCAGGCCCTGAAGGATGCTGCTTTACTTATGAAACAAGAGTGGCAGACTTCTCATGGGCTGATATGCCAAGAATGGCTGAGGTTGGGTCTCAGTGGATGGCAGGGCTTGCAGGGAAGGCAGCAGCCGAAACCCTGGAAATCTGGCTCAACACAAAAGTGAAGAATGAGTCTTACATGAAATGCATTGGGTGTCAGTGTCAAGAATGCCAAGGCCCTAATTTTTACATTGTCATCTCCTAAAGACAACCGTGGGGGCTGGCCTGTCAACATCTCTGTACGTCAATATTCCACATTTGCCCTTTCCCTTTGAGGATATGGAACCAATCCTGGTAATTCCCCCCACTTGAGCATGCCTGAGGACGGATACCTCTTCATATACTCAGTCATGAGTGAAGATTCCAATCTTGAGGGAAACCCATCCTTGGAGATGCCAAAGATCAAAACTAAGGGACAATATTTTGGTCTATTTTAGAGGCAGGGGAAGGACACGTTGGCTATATCTGGTCCCAGGATCATCTCTCTTGGGGCATTGGCCATGGAGCCAACACTGGGTTCTGTGGAGCCTGCAACTTTAGCTTCCTAAAAAAATCCTTCAGGACTTGGAGCACAGGGACAGCATCTCAACTTAGATCAGGCTCTGAGTCCATACTAGAATCTGGTCTGGCCTCCTTCAAGGGGATCTCCTGCCCCTGTGAATTTCCCGAGTCCTGGCCTCAGTTTTCTCCTCTTTTACTGAGCTTTTTCCTGGCCCATCACTTGGGGCTGATCTCTGTGAGTTCAAGATTTGAAAAGTGGTTGTTGTTCTGACAGGTGCCTTTGCTGCCTAAGATTTCATGAAGATGATAGCACTGCAGATGACAAAGGAAAAGTACTTTAGACCTTTTGTGTTCAGATAACTTTGGAGATAAAGGCGACATTAGCTATCATACAAGACAAATTTCAGCTGAAAAAGCCCAGAGAGCTTAAATCACTTGCCCTGGGTCCCTTGGCCACATACGGCAATGCTGGAACTAGTATCCAAACCTTGTAATTCATAGTTGACAACGATCCATGCGTGGTTGGGATTCTCAAAATGTGGTCCTAGGACCGGCAGCATCATGTCATCTGGGAACACATTAGAAATGCAAATTATTAAGCCCCATCCAGATCTACTGAATCAGAAGCTCTGCAATCTGTGTTTTAACCAGCCCTCTAGGGAATTCAAATACTTGCTACAGTTTGAGAAACAGTGTTCTGTGCTGTGCTAAATTAAACCTTTTGAGGGACAATTCAGTATTTTTTATCATTTGTAGAAGAGTTGAATGCTGAACACTAATTTCTGTCACACTTGATTCTTTTATTCATTTCTACACTTAATCTCGAATGCTATTCCCATATTAGGCACCACATGGATCAGAAGGACATATTGAACAAAGATCCTTCCTTCAAGGAGCTGATAGGAGTCACAACATAGACCAAGGAGGCTTTGATACTGAGAAGTAAAGCAAAATATGATGAAATTTTGGAATGATGCAGACACCAAGGGCAATATGAGTTTGGTAATGCTTTGGGCTATAGAGATGAGGTTGAGAATATCAACAGGAGAAGAGAATTAGCAACCAGGTGGTAGAAATGGGCGTAGTGAGTTGTAGAAAGAATAAGGAGATTTGTCAGGTGAGATGAGAGGCCTTGTGCTCTCTTAGGAAATTTATGAGAAGTTCTGAGACTTAATTTCTCCCTGAATTGTGAGGACCCTAAAGGTACTTGCCTCAGTGACTGAAGAGAATGGGTGGTTGGCCATAGATCCACCACTCAGTGATTGACTCTGGAAGCATCTGTCTGGTAGGGACAGCAAGAGGAAATATTTTCAGACTTTACTCTGGTACAAGCCTCAAGCAATTTGTCATGACTCAGGTGGTTGGGAAGCAAGTGTGCTCTCGGGACAGCTTGACATGTCACTCAGCAACCTCCTGGGGCCAACCTGTTCTTTTAAAGGAAGAGTTTTGTGTTGACTCTGAACTTAGAAGAGTCCAAAAACAGCAAGTGACAACAGAAGGTTGAGTCATGAGTGCATACCGCATCCAGGCCAGCCTTCGCTTCCAAGCACGAAGTAGACCATGGCGTTGAGTTGACGTTTTCACAATGTAACCATAAATTCTCTGTGACCCATTTCCACGGCCTGTATCATTTTATAGACCTGTATAGCGGCATGGAAATTAAATTGGTATTCATTATAAGGTGCCACCAGATCCCCAAAGGCCTAGCTTGCCTGAGAAAAGCATCTATGGAGCATCCAACTCCAGCATATTTTATCGTGTTTAAATTTCTGAAACATAATGCACTTGTGATATATGTGACAAATATAGTTATCAGCATTTTTTCTTAATCAGGAGACTTTGTTTTCAACCATGCTGGATAAGAGAGAACTTACTGCAGTTATAACTATGTGTTATTTTTTAAAATAATCCTAGCTAGCGTTGGATTACTATGGTTGCAGGCCCTCTATGGCTGCTTCAAATTCATTGTGTGTGTCATGCCCAAAATTATCCTCCCACGAAGGAGGCGTTATTGTTGTCTCTGCCTTACAGGTGAGTAAACTGAATCACAGAGAAGACAAATAATATCTTCGAAGCCATGCAGCAAATAAACTGTGAAGGCTGGATTATACACACACACACACACACACACACACACACATACACACACACACACACACCCCACTCAGGATCACGGTGGAAGATGGAATAGTATGTTGGAAAAAGGTAAGGATTTCAAGTTAACATCTGGTAATTGACAGACTGAGCAAGTAGGGGAAGCCACTTTTAAACCCTAGAATATTGGTTGCCTAATCAATAACACAGAAGCCCTTACTCATAGGTTAATTTTGAGGAATGAATGAGATAATACGTTGAAAAGTTTTGTTCTATAAACTAACCTCCCCAACAGCTCTAGAAATTGGATTTTTACTGGGAGGTCATGAATATAGGCTCAACCTCGGAATTTTCTGCTCCGACTCCCTTTTCCCAACTCAAATGGATCGATTATTTTCCTAACCCATCAGTGCTTGGTTGATGATACGTAATCATCTGTCTGGCCAGGTAACCTGGTAACTCAATTAAACGGCAGTTTGACCTGGAACTTTATGGAGTGCCAGGTATGGTGATGCAGACTTGGACCTGCTCAGGGCTCTGACAGATGGACACCAGCATCCCTGAAAATAAAGGTGTCTTGTCTTTGGGTCTGTGTATTTGGTTACCTAGTTGCTTCTCTGCTCTGTGGAAGTCACATTTTCCTCTGTTTCTTCAACAGTCCCTGCACCCGGTGGGTCCTGGCCCCGGGGGCATAACATGGCTTCACATCCTTGCTTTTTCCAGCATCTGGCATCTCAGGAAGCCACTGACTCACCCCCTTGGCCCCATCCTGCCCCTACTGCCCTGCACTCATTGGCTTCTAACTTTTGATGAATTCAGGGAAATAGGGGTTCCTGTGAGCCCGTGTTTTTCAAGAGCTCATGGTTTATGCCTGGAATATGTATTTGCACTCCAGCTTTCTAAAATGAGCAGAACTTTGGAAATACCCTTTAGTGGCTCCTGTCTGAATTCCAAATGTCTCCCTGAGTTTGCTTTAGAGACAGAAAGGAGAATTCTTGAATTAACAATGATCTCCCAGTGAAATCCCCCTATGGAATTTGAAATGTAGCCATTATGACAAATAGGCTTTTACCTTTTATTGTGGTGAAATACACATAGCATAAAATTTACCATTGTTGACATTTAGTCCATCCACAATGTTGTGCAACCTTCACCACTGCCTACTTCCACAACATTTTCATCACCCCTAAAGGAAACTCTGCACCCAATAAACAGTCCCTCTCCATTCCTCCCTCCTCCCGGACTCATCTGCCTTTTGTCTTTAGAGATTTGCCTATTCTGGATATTTTCATGTGAGGCAGATCGGTTTGTTCATTGAAAATTTTCAACATGCTAGACATTCACATTGCTTCAAAATCTAAAAGTCTAAAAGGATTTCCTTTCTTTTGTTTCTCCCCCATCGGCCTGGGCTCCCTTCCCACATGATTTCTCTGTTTGTGGAGGCATATGTATTCTAGAATATGTGTATCCCAATACAAACAAATATGACACACGCTCTTATCTCCCCCTTTTATTACATGAAAGGTAACATTCTATACACAATATTCTGTACCTTGTTTTTCAGCCACCTTACAAAATGTCCTGGAACTTCTGTCCCCATCAGTACACAGAGAGCTTCCTCATTCCTTTTCATAGCCGCATAGTAGTTGTTTGAATCTAGCATGCTTTATTTAACTAATCCTTTCTTGATGGACATCTAGGTTTGTTTCCAAGTATTTGCCATCACCAGCAAAGCTGCCATGAATTATCTCACACACATGTCATCTTAAAAGTGTCTCGGCAGCACAGATTCCCAGAAGATGAATGACTGGGTCAGAGGGCATGTGGATTTGTAGTTTTGTTAATGATCAGTCCCTTTCTTTCTGCAGGGGTTGTGCCAATTCACACGCTCACTGGCAGTACACGAGAGTCCCGCAGCCTCCACCAAAGAGTGTGTCACCCAACTCTGTATTTTTCTCCTAATCTCAGCGCAATCAAATTCGAATTTCTATTCCTATGTTTAAGAAAGAGGATTTAAGGAATTCTGGTTTTGTCTCCTAAAAGGAAAAAAAAAATGCATCTGGCACCTCCATGTTACCTGTTTACATTTAAGGATAAATGAAAAACGCAGTCATTCCCAGTAATGTCCGCAAAATCAGTGACTTGCTGAAGTCCACACACCTTTCCCTACCTGGAAAGAAGCCTCTGTGGAGGGCCTCTGTTTCCCGGGGTACCTCGCTTCCCATCCTCCTAGGGACAGACTGTGAGATCCCACCCCTCCACACTCCCCACTGTTGACTCTGCACCCCACAGTCAGCTCCCTTCTGAGTGCCCAGCCTGGGCTCCAGTGGTTTATTTAAAAGCATGACGAGCCCTCTAATTATGGAGATAAAAGCTGCCTGTGATGCAGAGCAGGGCTTGGGTTGAAAGGTCTTTTTTCTGGCTCTTTCCCATCTCATTAGAGTTGCGGGGTGGCTGGTCACTGCAAGGTTTAATCTTTGGAGGCAATGTGACAGCAAATGTGGCAAGAATCACAGCTCATTGACTGTTTCATTAAAAATTTCTACAGGTACCTGAAAAAGGTGCCTTTCAAGTTGCTTCAGTCTGAGGAATCTTATTTCTCCTAAACTGAGAGAAATGGATCCCCTGAAAATGTGTGGCATGCACAATTCGATGTCATGGCCTCCATGTAAACATCTCTTTCTGCGTGGATGGAGGAAGTGAACAGCTTTTCCTTCTTCCTGCGTTTCCCACTTCTCCCTAAATCTAAAGAGCAATTCTCTGCCTTCGTGAGCGCAGGCTGGTGAGAGCTGGGAGAGCAAGCTGACACTGCTCAGCAGCCGTGTTTACCATCTGATCGTCGTGGAGGGACAGCTGAGTGCACAGTGTCCTCCCATCCATCATTGCAAGACCAGGGAAGGAAATTTGGCCCTTGGGCAGGCTGTAGCCCAGGAAAAAGGCCATCCTCAGAAGTTTGCAAACTTCTCTAGTTTGCAAACAGCACAGATTTAGAGCTTGCATTCCTTCTCATCCCAGGAACCACATATGAGCACCTCTCCCTGCCACGGTTCTCACGATGCCTGGATGGTCCTTATTTAAGTATTGAATCAGGAGAGGGCAGGAGGCTTCACACGAGACCACTGTGAGGTGGGGATGCTTGAGCTGCCTGCATCTGCTGGTAAATGTGTCACCTCCATCCTCTGACCCAGAGAGCATTTCTCTTCATTTCCTCTGCTTCTTATTCCCCACATCCAATATTTTAACCTCACTCTGCCATCTCTCAAAAGCTAACCCCAGTCCCCTCTTCTCAGTGCAGGGCTCTGGTGACCAGGGAGACTGGGGTGTGATGAGGAGGGCCTTGGGAGCCAGTTACAGAGGGTTAAGTCCTGGCTTGGTCATTTACAATCCCTGAGTACTTTAACCTTTCTGAAATGTAGTTTCTTCATCTGTAAAATGGGCTGATAATACCAGTGTGCAGCAGCAATAGATGAGGATTGAAAGAGACATTTGGGAAGTCCCTGGCCCCACCGAGGGCACTCGTGGCAGCTGTGAACATGAGCTACCCGGGTGGAGGATGAGCCCATCTACTGGTCCTTTGGATCCACTAGTGGGTTTGTGTGGAGGTCACACTTACCACAGTTGCTCCCAGGCCATGACTGGGCCCCATAGGGATGCAAAGATGGGCCCATTCCAGAGAGATGTGGGATTTCTCTGACAGACAGCTGTGGCTCAAGGACTCTCCCTCAGCTTTGCTAGAACTTTCTTGGAGCTGTGCTGCAGTGTCTAGACAAGATTCCTTCCTTTCCTCTTCCTCCTTCCCTCTGGCCTTCACAGGGTCAGACCTGCACCAGAGCCTGAGGGTTCTCCCACTTTCTTAGCCCCTTCCAGAGTGTGTCTCCCAGTAAATCCCTCAGGTGTCTAATCCCATCTTGGTATCTGTTTCTGGAAGACCCAAACTACACAGCGCTCAAACCATTTTAGTTCCATCTCCTTTCTGTTAAATACATGGTTTAAAGGCCGTGTTTAAGGATGATCTAGAAATCATTTTAGGGTATAATGACATGTTATTTATTTATTTGAAAATTATGTTTGCTCCACTTGGTGAAAATTTCTGTAAGTACCTCTGAGATCATGGATTCTGGGGCTTCATTGAGCATCAGCCTTTGGGGGAACTGCTTCTAATGCTGATAAAAGTTTCAAGATCTTTCCTTGTTGAGTGGGACTGGCATTTTTTATGTGAGGGCAAGAGAACAGCGTTAGCATCTCTGCAGGTGTTGTGCTGCCCCAAACCAGCATCTTTCTTCACAGCGGGGTTAGAGAGGTTGGGGGGACCGCTGCAGGCCCTGGAACCTCGGTGCATGAATAGAAGTGCCATCAGCCTCTTTGGGGTCTCAGAAGACCTCTTTTGCTCTATCTGATTTTTTTTCTTTTGGGAACCTCAGCTCCTTGGGGCTAAGTGGTGACAGATACTTTGACACTGACTTCTTTTGCCTCGTAAATCAGCCCTGGGGTCCTAGATGGCTCAGAATCTTGAGACCATAAAAAATATGAAATGACAAAGTATGGAGTGGTCTTAGAGATCATTAAATGGACCTGCCTTACTTGATGCATGAGGAAAGAGGCCTAGAGTACATCAGAAGTGAATCTACCCTTGACTTCCTTTTTAAAAAATCCATCCATTCATCCATTCACCTACCAGTCCATTCATCAATCCAGCCATCCATCTATCCATTGATTCCTCCATCCACCTGTCTAACCATCCATCCATCTACCGACTCATCCATCCATCCATCCATCCATCCATCCATCCATCCATCCATCCACCCACCAAGCCACATAATTCATCCACCTATCCATCCATCCATTCAACCATCCATCCATCCACCCACCAAATTACCACATAATTTATCCATCCATCCATTCACCCACCCACCTATTTACCTGTCCACTGATCCATCTATCCATCCACCCACCTATCTACCCATCCATCTATCCACCCACACATCTACAAATCCACCCATCCATCCATCCACTCATCAATTTGCCCCATAGTCCATCCATCCATCCATCCATCCATCCATCCATCCATCCATCCATCCATCCATCCATCCATTTATATACCAGAGGTAGACCCTGAGAATTTAAAGATGAATAAGATGTGGTCTCTACCTCCTGGGGCTCTCCCAGTCCAGCACTCCCTTCCAGTCCTTTAAAGGGCTCAATTCAATCTTGTCTCTGAAATGGGCCATGTCACCCTCCACTAAGCATCTTCCAGTGCCAGCCTTTCAGATTCCATCAGCAGCACATTGGCTGTGGACATGCAGGTCATGAGCACAAGGTCAGCAGCATACGCCTGCCCATTGCTCCCCAGAGGAAGGAACTCCAGTGTCCGGGATCTGAGGGATCTGTGCTTCCAGCTTGGCAGGCTCTCCCAGCAGAGAGCAACCACCTTTAAACTTCTACTTGTCCCTACTTTCCATCCTTCTCCCTTCTCTTCCCTCCCCACATTGTCCTGGTATCTTACCATTCCCAATCCTGCCCCCCTCAAGCCCATTAGCTTTCAGGCCATCCAGAGATCGGTTCCTTTCATGGTCCTGCTTTTCCCGTTGCCTTTCACATCAGAGACCTTTTCTCTCTTTGAGCAGACCCATTTCCTTCTGTGATTCCTGCTTGGATAGAAGGGACTGTGACGTGTGGTGTGGGGAGTTCAGGAGGATGGCGGGCACTGAGCCATTACCAAGTTTGCACTTGTTGCCTTCTGGCCAAGGACCCAGAGTGTTCATTCAAAGGAACAATTTTTAAATAAGCCACTGACACCAGTGTCTGGTCTAAGGGAAGAGCAAGGGAGAATAGTGGGAGACCTGGAGGGAACCAGGTGTTCCTCCAGCCAGGGAGGCTGTAGAATCCTTATCATGGACTCCTTTCTGTCACCTCCACCAACTGAGTGAGTAGCTCAGACTGGAGGTCCCTTACCATGCCTGTGGGACCCAGTGTCACCTGAAGGCAGGGGTTCTGCATAACAGGCCAACAGGCTATCAGCTGAGCAATCTTGGACTAGCCACAAAATATCTGACTGTCAAGGCCTCCACCTGCATAACAGGGATTAACAAAAATATCTGCGATGGCCAGTGTTTGGATACAGTAGCGCCCAGGAAGATAGTGCTCCAGAAGTGCCTGCTAAAAAGAGCTTGATGCATATCACTTGTAAAAGTAGTGTTTAGCCCAACTTGGTGGGTTCTCAGGCCGCCACAAATGCCACCACTTTTGCACACTCACGTACCCTCAGGTGCTGCTATACTGGGACAACCGCCGAGACATACTACATGCCTGATTATGGTGGTCTTTGAGGGAGACGTTGTTTTCAGAGCAGTGGCTCTTAACCTCTTGAAAGGTTCTCCCCCAAAGCATGCACACATGCCTAAACACACATAGACCCCCTCACTGAGGTCGGAGGATTGCTTGAGCCCAGGAGGTCAAGGCTGCATTGAGCTATGATCTCCCCACTGCACTCCAGCCGGGCAACAGAGCAAGACACTATTTCTAAAAAATACAAATAGAAAGAAATCTCAAAAAAAGAGGGAATACCCAAAGACGAATGGATGAATTGTGTGCCAGGCATTTAATGCATTATCTCTTGTGTTCTTCA